ATATTTGACCCAAAGTTGGGTTGAAACAACCCTGCATTTTTTTTTTTTTTAGAGCATACCGTCACACTAACACACTAATGTTTTCATCTTTACACTATAGGCTAACCGGTTTTTGTCCATCCACCTTGTCACTATAATTTCTGTCATTGCTTTTAGCTGGAGTTTCAAGTCCAAGTGCTTAAGAAACCGTTTTGGCATCACTAACTTTTGCACTAAATTGTTTTTACTTAATTTTATGGCATTTTTGACATTTCTGAATTGCAGTGAGAGTGTGCTGTCCAGTAAGCACCTCCTAATAGGTTTTGACACGCATCCATTTTCCTGGACCTCATACTTTCATGTTAGGTAAATCAGGATTTATTAAAACACTGTGTAGTATTAATATTAATCCTAAAATACAAACGTGAGATGAAGATGTCAAGTTGTGCATGTCAGGATCAAGCTGAGAAGACTAGCAAGGGAATCTCTTGAAGCAATGGTAATACAGTGACAGGTGGGTGGGGCTTGTGTAGAGTAAGTGGGGAATATGTGCTCTAATATGAACTATAGGTAGAGTTTACAGTATATGCAAAATATCTACAAAGGAAAGGTGCAATGGAGGTAGACATAAGTACATCATAAAAAATGCCTGATTTCAGTGACATCTCCAACTGGCTTTTGCCCTGACCTGCCACTACTGATCTTTCAGAATTAATAACTATTTAATTTATTGTTATAATCACAGAATAAAAGCTGTCTTTGTCTCTGAAAGTCCAAAATCACCGCAAGTAGCACATCATCCCCAGAGTAATGGTCAATCATTATGGGTTTTCAGTGACCGATTCTTACATTTACATTCCTCCACAATCACCTTTCAAGTATTGAATTGATTTAGGCCTATTCGTTTGTTTGCATTTTTCTGGCATACCTGGTGACAAACTCAAGTCAAGACACTGAGGTCAAAACAACATGAGCTAAGTGGCTAAACTGCCCAATAACTCATATATATATATACATACATACATACAT